GAACGCCTTCCGAGAGCGCATATAGCGCGCACATATCCGGTGACATGCGTGTAAGCGCGGTTTGGTGCGTGTTTCCGTATCCATGCAGGGGAGCTGGCCTGGTGGGCGTGCGACGGTGCTGAGCCTCGCAACGTTGGGCGGAGCGCATGAGCGCGAGCAGGGATCTGCACGAGGGCGGGCGGGGCAGGGCCGTCGGGCGTGAGGCCCGGAGAGAGCCGAACAGGGTTGATAACTGTTGATAACTGTTGAAACCAAAGATATCTGCAGGGATCTCGATTGTGCCTTGTGATCGGTTCTCGGGTTGGCTTTGTCGCTTGGCCACCTCAAACCCTTTTTCTCCTCCTTTGCTCCCGACCATGAACGTCGCTGCCCTCCTCCAGGACTCGCCCTCCGACGACCACTCCCGCCGGCGCCAGCAGCAGCAGGAGCAGCAGCGTCAAGAGCAGCAGCGCCAGCAGCAGCAGCATCCGCAGTATCCACAGCAGCAGCATTCCCATCACCCGCCTCTTCCGTCACCGCACGACCGAGATCGTCCGCCCCACGAACAACGTCTGCATGCCCCTCACCACCGCTCTCTCCCTCCTCATCGCACTCCCCCCGACTATCCTCGCGATGCCTTCCCGCCCCCGCCTGACTACCCCCAGCAACCCGCCCATTCCCATCAGCACGCGCCATATGGCATGCCACGCCAATCGCCCATGTACCTCCCGCCCCCAACCCCACACCACCGCCAACTAGACTACAGCCCGCCGCCGCTCCATTCCAAGCCCCCGCCACCCCTCCTCCACGAGCCCTCTTCGATGTACACGGGGCTTCCGCCGCTACATGCGCCCCCGCCATCTTCACACCATCGGCATGGCCCCCCGCCCCAGCCGTTCGCTCACCCCCATCTCCATGCTCCGATGCCGCCTCATGTCCCGCGCAGGCACGCGGATGGTGCGCCGGCAATGGCGAGTTTGCAGCCGCCGCGTGACCGTGAGAACCCACCGCCACCTCTTGCCTCTCTTCCACACCACCCCCAGCCGCAGCCGCAGAGCCTCAGCGCGATGGCTAGGGATCGCGACAGCGCGAGCATTGGACCTGGGCCTTCCACGAGAGAGGATGGAGATGCTATCGGGGGCTCCGGGGGTGGGAAGAAGAAGAGGAGTCGGGCGCCTGTCCCCGAGGGACGGCGGCCAAGTGGGAACGGGAGCGGGAGGAGGAGCGATGTCGAGAGGGAATATGAACGCGAGATGAGAGAGGTTGAGCGGGGTCGCGCGCGGGAGCGCGAGATGCGGGAGAGGGAGATGCGAGAGAGGGAGATGCATGAGCGGGACATGCGCGACCGGGAGATGCGAGAGAGAGAGCTGCGCGAGCGAGATATGCGGGAGAGAGAACGAGATCGCGAACAGAGGCAGCGCGATGACATGGAATACATTCGTGCAATCGCTGCCGCCAGGAAGGCAGACGAGGGCGGGTACATGGTGCGTACGACGCGTCGTTCTGATCACCTATCGTACTAATCCCCGTACAGTCCAAGTCTGACTCGGAAATGAACGCTTCAAACCACTATGCACAACCGCATCCCTATTACCCACCTTCTGAATCTTCCAGCGTGCCCAGGCCGCCGCCGCCGCCGCCACCACCACCACCAAGACACCATCAATCCCATTCGCAGTCCCATACACCGTCGCATACAATCTTCGGTCCTACCCCAACAGCTCACTCCCATCGTTTCCTTCCGCCACCGCCTCCCATCAGAACGCCGCCTCCGATCCACCTTGGCCGCTTCGTTTTCCCTGATCTGCCTTTCCCGCTCCCACCGTCATTGGGCACGCGCATCTACACGATACCCGCGACGGCGGAGAAAGGGGAGGAGAAGGTACGGATACGGGACGAGCGGGAGGTCCGTGCAATCATATATGTCCCCAACGGATTTGTGCCATCTGGCAAGCCCGCCGCCGTCAGGGTATGGGGAGGCGCTGGTGGAAGTTACGGTGCAGGAGCTGGGAGCCTGGCGATGAGTGCGGGCGCCGGTGGCATGAGTGGCCGGCGGGTATACACCGACGACAGCGACGTGCTGGGGTGCTGTGTACATGCTGGGCTCGTGAGCTGGGGCGCGCTACGGGGCGCCAAGGCGCAAGGATGGGATGTCCAGATCGAAGTCGGATGCGTTGGTACTTGGGCGTGGGGAGGGCAGTATGTAGGCGGAGTCGGAGCTCCCGTTCGGCCAGGCGGCGATCATGAGATGTTACGGAGAGACGCGGCGAGGAGGAGGGGAGACGATGGGCGAGAGCCGGACGAAGATGAGGGCGAAGAAGATGACGGGCGGGGGATTTACAGCGCTGGATGGGGCAATGGGCACGATGGCGGCGGGATTGAGATCCTGGAAGTTTCCTTCGTCGAGGTGCGTAGCTGATCATTGTCTGGACACAGGCAACTGGCTTACGCTTATCACTCACAGAAGGATACGGCGCATAAAGCCGCAGGTCTGGGGCGGCGAAATCGCAAACAGCGGCTCATCGAGTACGCATCTGCGCGCAAGGAGGCCCTTGACGCTGGTGCGCGAATTGTCTTTGGCGACTTGGGAACGCAGCCACGGTCTGTCTTCCTCTTGACACATCCTATCTTGCAGCCGCTCAATTTGTACGCCTGCGCAGATTTAAGTACGACGCTGACGGCTTGCGCGGTGCCCTCCTCGACGATGAAGACGAGAATGGGCGGGCGCGCAAGAAGCGGCGGCTGGATGGGAAAGATGCGATCCCTTACCGGAGAGGTCTGGTACTCGAGACGGGCGTGGAGAAGTTCTTGCTCAAAGAGGCGGAGCCACGCGAGACGGACAAAGAAAACGAGCCGCAAGAGCCACGTTGGGAGATTTGGCTTGTCGGGCGCACGCACGACTCCCTCCCCGCGCTCCTCGCCGCCGAAACGGGGTCGCCGCCGATGTCCAAGCCACCCTCCCCCGCGAAGGGAAAAGGGAAGGCGAGCGCGCCGGTGCTCCTGCAGCGAGACTTGACAGCTGCGAGCTTTGAGTTCGCGGAGGACGAAGTTCGGGTGCTAGGCGAGGCAGACGGAGATGGGTCGCGGGAGGGGTGGGCGATCGAGGTGAGGGGATGGAGGTGGGCTGTCGGAGACGAGGGGGTCGCCGGCTAACGGAATATAACGTATTGAACGATCTTCGTCGGCTCCGTTGATACTGTCGTCGCATGCTTTGTATTGTTATTGCAGATATTTGGGTATTTTACTTGTATCACGCTGTCTCCGTGAACGCAGTACTGGAACTTGGAATGTCTGCGAGCTCGCACCAGGTGTCGGAAAAACCGGGTCTAGGTCCGTCTCTGCGCGTGTAAGACGCTGTTTTCATTCACGAGAAGGAACGCAATGGTCTTGATGCATAGCTCCACCGATGTGGGCTGCATCCTGGAGAACACGTGCGGATATTTGCGCCTTGTATATGTATCAAGCTGTCTTCGCGAAGGCAGAGCTCTAAATTTCTTCAATGTGAGGCACCATTTTCGTCTCTGAGCGCACTCTAGCCTGTTGGAGAGTAGACTCGACCCATTGTCGTTGGTGCTATCGGTGTGGGGGGTGGATAGCACCTATAATAGGTCATTCCTGCCTCTCCTGCTTTTCCTCCAGAACGGCTGGGTCGAGACTAGTTGGAGAGCTCGATGAGTAAGCCCAATACCGGGCCTTACGGATGCCTGTGGAACGATTTGAGTATCCTGGCGAAGCTGTCTCGAGACTGGTTGAATCTGCTAGACAACCGTATGGAGACTGGGTCTCGTATGAAGAAATTCCATACACGTGCGAATCTATTTCCCAGCGTTTAAGGCGTCTGGAAGCGTCAGACGAGGGAAAATCCTGCCGATAGGATTTCGTGCACGAGCAAGCTCGCGGGCCTTGAAGTTACGTTCGATGGATGTGAACCCGAGGAAAGGGGATGCATTTTGGTGGGCATGTGTGGAGTACATGGCATGGCAATATGTGTCATAGCGAGAGAGTAAAATAAAAACAACAAAGCGACGAATTTATTTCTGCGAGGCAAATCAGTCAAGACGTGTAGAAAAAGTAGAAGCTGCTCACCAGAATGATACCGTCGAACCGCTGCTTGAACCACGCCATGGTGTCATCCTTCTTCACCCTGTGGCCAGAGCCGATGCGCGCGGTCTTTTGTTTCCTCTTCGCCACCCTGTTCCCCGGCCGGCCCATGACAACGTAGAAATCCATGCCAAAGATACCGATACCGGGGTCGTACCGCGCACCGAGATCAATGTGCTCCTGGATGCCGAAGCCGAAGTTGCCCGTCTCGGAGAAGTTGCGGCGACGCAGCTCGTACTCCTTCACCTTGAGGCCGCGCTCGAGGATCTCCTCTGCCTTGGGCCCGCGGATGGTGACGTGCACGGCGATCTTCTCGTTGCGCCGGATGCCGAACGTGCGCACGGTGTAGCGCGCCTTGGACGTCACGGGCGTCTGCCCCGTGAGCTGCTCGAGCACCTTCGAGGCCCGCGTGAGCCTGTCGCCGGACTCGCCGACGGAGATGTCTGTGCGCGGTCAGTGGGCGCGGGGCGCAGGGCGACGGGGGACGCACTGATGACCAGCTTCTCGATGCGAAGGTCCCGCATGGGGTTGGTGGGGGCGGTCTTGGTGTCGGCCTGCGGACTACGGTCAATACAACGGTAGATATTGGGAGGATGGAGCGTACCATGTCGTTTATGCCGTCTTCGTCGTCGTCGAGGTTGCCTTGCAGTCGTCTGTGAGTACTTGTTTGTCCCGCTCGCGCCGGATGCGGTGGCTTGGTACTGTACAGTTTGCACGTGCATATTCCCACGCAGATCACATCACTGGGACAGGGGCCGTCTTGAGCTCTCAAATATCCCCCTCTACAGTACAGTAACACTCTGTGACACTCCACAATACCGTCAGTAGGAAATATTGCGAATAATGTGCATTCCGCCGTCGATTTAAGCTTACCTGGATTCCTTGTCGTCCTGACAGTCTGAATAGCATCGATACCCATCGGCCGACTAGCTCAGTTGGTTAGAGCGTCGAGCTAATAACTCGAAGGTCTTGGGTTCGACCCCCACGTTGGCCATAAGCGGCTGCTGGAACGCTTTTTTGTTGCCTACGCAGCAGCGGTCACAATGGTTTGCGTGCTTTGTCTATCCAATACAAACTCGATGACGCATGAATTTCGTCCCCTCCGCTCATAACGTGATCGGTGTTCGATGCTGGTGGAAAGCAAACTGCGAAATGCCTGTCCCGATTATTCTAAGGATCATTCTGACGGAAACCAAACGCATGTCGGTGTCTACAAACTGGTAACCAAAAGCAACCCGCGCTGCGGGTCTAGTTACTCCAAACTAGGAATCAAAGATTCGCCACCCGCCAGTCGCAGTGTGATCTTGCAACCAAATGACGACGGGACACTGAACCGTGTCATGAGTACCGACCGACACCGGAGGCAATATTCGCACCAACCTCACCGGGCCCGATGACCACTTTACATCAGGTTCAAGGACACGGCGGTCCGAACCGATCTTCTTCTCGAGCTTGAATATGTGCAGAATATTCACAACTGCGAGCCAAACCACATCATCTGCGAAAAAGCGTCCCGGGCAGATTCTGACAACTTGTCAGCTTTGCACACAATCAGGGGGAGTTCGGGGGGCTCACCGTCTTCCGAATCCAAACGCCACACGAGCGGGGTCTGGGGCGCCTTCGGACCCACCGGCACCGCGAGCGAAACGATCGGGGTTGAAGACTTCGGGTTCTGGGTATACAGACTCGTCGTGAAGCATTGCCCTAGTACGATCCGACACTTCAGTGGAGTGAATGAGGCTTGTGAGTCACCTTACGATAAGTTGGCGATGACAGTTGTGCCCTTTGGAATGAACATTCCTCGGTATACGTCGTCGGTCGTGGTGCAGTGGGGTATTCCTGTCGCAGGCATCGTATCAACAACCACCGACAGTCACCGAGGTATAATGAAAAACACACCCAGTGCCGAGGTGGCCCTCCAGCGCAACACTTCCTTGATGATACAAGCTAGATAGGGAAGACGAGGGCGATCACCGAATTCGGGAAGCCTGTCTTTGCCGACGACTGCGTCTAACTCCCTTTGGGCACGCTCTTGAACCTCAGGGTACATTATCATGGCCAGGAAGAAGTTTGTCAGAGCTGCTGACGTCTTCACGTTTGAGGCTATGTATTTAGTCGATATGTCGAAGAACCGACCAGAGGACTCACGGTGTCTACACCAGCTGTGATGCTGTGACTCAGAGAAGCACCGCTGATAGAGTATTGAGAAGGCTTACCACCGTAGATGATGGCTGTGCAATTCTTGATGAGCGCTTCAGATTCTATGCCGTCGGCGACAACACCCTTCTCCAAGAGCGAGGTTGCCATGGAAGGAAGAGCTGTCCCCGCTGCCTGACATAGGGATGAACGGTGATCTTGAAAGGACAGACACGACACGGAATTTGCTCACCAGACGTTCCTTGACCATCTGGAAGGGCGCATTTCTCATCTTATAAACCAGCTTCCTTGCTGCCAATGCACGCCGCTTGAATTCGAAGAGCCGCGCCGGTGCGTATCGAACTGAAGTACTGGAAGTGATTCCTGACAACAAAATAATACGCGAAAGATCCACTTACGAATCGGAAACAGATCGACGACATGTGCGACCGGCATCCTTCTATCTCCGCTATTGTGTACATCTTCAGACAGTCGCACATACGGATCGTCTTTCGGCGCAACCTGATAGCCATATGTGATCATCATGACGATAGCACCAGCCATACTGACAACCCCAAAAGATATCAGGACAATCTATCGCGACGCTCTCTCATCTCATACTCACCTTCGTAAATGGTCGGCGAAGTCATCTGGACTCGCCAGTAGATTTTTCAATAGTTTGTCAACCTCGGACTGCATGACTGGTCGGTGCAGCGACGTGACAACACTGGGCTGGAACGACTGCTGCACGATCCGCCGGTGAGCGGAGAAGCCCTCATGATAGCACATGACGACCATGCTCCAACTCCATCCAATTCTGTGCAGGGACTGGGGTCAACGACGATGCTAACAGTGATCAGATCTATCAGATCGCACTCACAGTTCTTTGGCGTATGGGAGGCGCGGCCGATCGGAGTATATCATGCTCTTCTTGTCCAACAGGTCACTTGCGACTTGCAGAGAGTTGAGGACGACCACATGAGAGCTCACGACCTGGAAGTGTATAACGTCGCTGTCTGTCACATCATCAGCTCAAAAATTCTGACTATCAGTTAATCAACGCACTGTATTTCTTCGACATTTCCTCGAGTGCGATCCATTCATGTCCACCTGTTGGTAAGTCTCGTATGTTACCGAGCAGGAAATGAGGGCGGGGTCCTGGCGGATAGCGAAGGCCCTTGGGATTGCGACGATACATCCGGAGTCGTGCGGATGCATAGAATACGACCAGGATAGTGCAGAGAGCGTATGTGATCGCGACGAGCATTATGGGAGATGCTGTCGTCCTGGTTCGATGTTGCGTAGATGGACCTGGACATCTGCGGGTGGTGCGCTCTTAAATGGTGAAGCAGAGAGACACAGGGGACTTCACGTAGGAGCGAGTGTTGCACTGACTCATCGATATTTCGTATGATACGCGCGTCGTTTGAATATCCGCAGCACTTCCAAGGCCGTAAAATTTCCATACACCACGTTTGAACCTGCAGGAGGTTGCAAGAACATCCACCCGGTGATGTGTAGGGCGCTTCGAAGGTGGTGTTATTCCCTTCTTGGCTCGGTAGATTCTATCATGCGTTGGTGCCGACAGCTCTCCGGTGGTAGGGGGGAAGCCAGGGTCCAGGTTGTGCGCTAGAGTATCGCGGCAGCATATCATTCTTCTCTCCCAGGAGTTGTCAAAGTCTGCGTAAGCCTACAGATCGTTAAGAGGCCAAGCGAGACCGGACACCCTTGGCCGCGGGATATAGAGGGCGATAGTTCAAGGACGGTGGGTATTGACGGAGATATACGCTAAACGGATTCCTCAAATTCAAACAAGCGAAACAACCTGGGCCTTAGCACAAATACACAATCAGCCAAAATGACATGCCTTCCGTGAGATAAACAGGTGACAGCTGGAATCCTGAAAGGCGTCACTCAAGCTGGACCACGTCACGATGGATGAGGACAGGAATGGATACCATCCTTCAGTCCCCTTGGTTCGGCTCTATGCTTGTTAGACTCAGGGCTGCGACTTCCCTCCCAGCGCACACCTCGGACCTCGGATTACAAAACGACGACCGCCCTCGAAGGAAGGAACCGATCTCATCCTTGCTGCTGACGAGACCTCATGCAATAGAGGACAGCATCTCGAAAGCTGAACGAATCTTGGCCTCTACATGAAGAGCAAGATTGGGTAGACGCTCACCGAGGTGTTATGTCCTGTCATGCGCCAACCAGTTTCTACCAGCCTCCGGAAAAAGACAATCCAATCAACGGCTTGGTGGGAGCGTAGGACGGCCATGGCGCGGAGACGTAGAAATCAATATACTCAGCAGAATATCTTGACTCTTGCAAGCACGGCGGGAAGCAGTGGCGACCTGCTAGGTAGGGTCTTCCGAAAGGTTATGAGGTGCCAATGGCGGCCGATAATGTGTCTTAGTGAGTGGGTTCTGAGCTCCAGTTATGATACGGTGACGGTCCTTCTATGGAGGAAAGGTACTTCACGAAGCGGGAGAGTCGAAATAAAAGCCCAAAATTATAATCGTGGGAAACTGAAGACTACGAGCTTCAATCTATGTAAGTTAACTGAGGTGCTAAATTTCATCCTGTAAGTAATTCAAGTAGACCAAAGGACGGTGAGGAAATGCACCGACGTAGCCCTTTAGTATCAGGAAACGGTACTGGTAGGGCGCTCGACTCAACTTCTCAACATACCTTACCAGCAGTCGGAGACGACTCAAGCCATTCCACTCGAGCCGTAACGGTAATATAATACATGTACAGACGTCTCTCCCCATGGTTGCGTCAGTAAGTGAAGATATGTGTCAGGAATACAGAGATATTGTGTTTCTGTTCACTCCGAAGAAGGTATCAGATTGTCGGCCTCTGCCAATCGTGGGGCGATCTCGCATGCGAACGGCGATGGAATGCTGGACAAATGCCGATTATCAACCAACATACAGCCTCAGCGCAGGCGGAATTGGGCTGACCTGACAGCCCCAGACGCCCACGTCACGCTCGGTTCAAGGACGCTGCCATCCGGACCTTTCTTCTTCTCGATCTTGAATACATGCAAGATGTTCGCGACGGCAAGCCAGAGCGTGTCGTCCGCGAAGAAGCGCCCCGGACAGATTCTGATAGTCACGGTCAGTCAATTTGGCGAGCCGCCGAGGCAAATCGGTAGACGCACCGTCTTCCAAACCCAAATGCAATACGAGACGGGTCTTGGGCACCTTCGGACCCGTCGGCACCACTAACAAAGCGATCGGGATTGAAATCGTCGGGGTCTGCGTACATAGACTCGTCGTGGAGCATTGCCCTGAAAATTGTACCATATATCAGGATGCGTCATATTTACTTCCCAGATGAAAACCGACGATATGTTCGCGAGGACACTCGTTCCCTTTGGAATGAACATTCCCTGGTAGATGTCGTCGGTCGTGGTGCAGTGCGGTATTCCTGTGATGAATGCACCATCATGCATCAGCCTCAGGACGCGTGACAGTTTCAAGCACTAGACCTAGAGGTGACACGGCCTTCCATCGCAGCAGCTCCTTGACGATGCAACTGATATACGGAAGTCGAGGACGGTCGTCGAAACTGGGCAGGCGATCTCTCCCGACGACCTCGTCGAGCTCGAGGCGAGCACGTTCTTGGACTTGGGGATGCGTAATCATGGCCAAGAAGAAGTTTGTTAGAGTCACCGCCGTCTACATGAGGGCTCACATTCAGATGAGTTAGAACTAGATGGTGGAGACCCACCGTGTCCGCCCCGGCTGAGATGCAGCAGCGTTTGAGAAACCTGAATGCTGTTCACTGATACAGATCGATGCTCACCACTGTAGGCGGCCGCTGCACAGTTCTTGATAAGCTCTTCGG